TTTTTCAATTTTCCCATATTTTTCTTCACATACAAAAGCTAGCATTGAAATTTTAGAAAAATGGAAAAAATATGGTACACTCTAACTGTCGGTGATCCTCCCGTTCGGGCGCGTGCACAACGAAGGTAGGGACCTGAGTCGCTCGGCAGGAGGCTGATGTCGAGGATGGCACGGGATGGGACCTGGCACCCGCCGCAGAGCATCCACCGAAACGTCACAAAAAGAGGAAGCCGCAGTGAGTCGGTGTCGGTACGGTACTTAACGCGGGGCGGGGTATGGTTGACCGGCTACTAATTCCGCCCCCGCCTTCTTCGCGGAGCCCTTGACCGAGCTCGCAGCCACAGCCGGGCCGGCCGGCCGGCGGGCCCCCGTGGCGGTAAGAGGAGCTGGTCGCGGGTCGGGCCGGGCGCAGTCTTACAAAAGTCAGTCTCGGCGCGGCCCGTCGCGGTCCAGTGGGCCCCGATGAGCCCGATCGGAGCGGACCGCGCGGGCCCCGGTGTAAGAATAGGAGGGAACAACCTGGGGGGAGGGGACGGGGGATGACGGGGGGACGGGGGCGCCAAGATGGCAGGGACGCGCTGCCGGTGCTGGTCCTTGTGGTGTGGTGTCGGTCGCCCGCAGTTGCAAGGACGCCAGGACGCCGCCGTCCTTGGATCTGCCCTCACCGCGAGGACACCCTCCCGGCGCTGCTCATGGTCGCGGAGCTGCGTGGTCGCGGCCGCGAAGGCCACCCTGCGGGTCGTCACTGCTCCAGCTGGTTGGCCAGGGTGGTGGCGGTGGCGCGGGCGCGCGGCACGCAGCGGCAGGTCTGCACGACGCGGATGCGGTAGGAGCGCGTCGAGCCGTCCGGACACAGCAGCTTGACCCGCTGCCGCTTCCAGCCGCTGTCCGTGCAGCGCCAGGGCAGCGGCCGGGTGCCCGACTGCTGCAAAAGGCGGAGCGAACGCGAACTCAGTAGTTTAATACCAAAACACGACCCCCACGTGTCCAGCAGCAGGGTGATTCCGCAACTCGGTCGTCGGATCTCCAGCAACCGAGGTGCGGAATCAGCCGCCGGTGCGGGTCGAGCGCCTGGCGGCGTAGGCAACAAGTAGCCCCGCCAGACAGTCCTGCTCGGCGGGGTGGCCTACCCACGGGCTGACAGGCTGACGAGGCAGGCCAAACTTACAGTAGCGCACAGTACCAACGGGTTTTTGCCCATTTCTGTGGCACCACCACCACCACCACCACTCACCTTGGACCAGGCGTTCATGACGCAGCTGACGGCGCACACCACCTCGTTGACGGGGCGCGTGGAGACGCACAGCCCGTCCGAGACGTAGCGCTTGGAGCGGAGCCGGCAGGACCCCGGCCACGCCTCCTCTGGAAGGACAAACAGAGCGGGGATGGGCACGAGTGAAAACAGTCGTTATTCGGGGTGACGATTTTAGTGCACGTCGTTCGCAGCAGAAACGGTTGTCGCCGCCGCGGCCTGGCCTCCCTCCCCGTGTGTGCCCCCGAGCCCAGCCCGGGCATTGTCAAGCAGTTTGAGGCCGTGGTGCGGCGGCGTGTCGGGGCGCGGCGTGGCGCGGCGTGTCAGGGCGTGACATGGGCGGGGATATCCTTCTTCTCCCCCTCCTTGGCGGCGTGTGGCGCACGCATGCTTTATTGCGAGAGCCAGAGGGGGCTCTTTACGAGCGTCTCCCCCAACAACTTTGTGTCGGGAGGGGAAGCGGGAAAACGAGGAGGAAAGGCGGGGGTCCCCTCTGGTCCCAGCACGACTGCGCGTCTTGTGGCGATAATTTAAACTTTTGTCTCGACGCCGGCAATCGATTACCGATGACATCCGTTCCTCTGGTCTCATCTCATCGCCCCCGGTCCGGGGATGCCTCGGATTCCAACGACATCATTAGTCGCCCCCCCCCCTTTTCCCCTTTCCTCGACGGCAGCGAGAGCCTTGCTCCGTGCGAGGCGCCGCGACGTACCCCGCATGTTGACCGAGGTGACTTAATCCGCCTGGACGTGCGGCGGTCCCGTGCAGCCGCAGCAGCCGGTCTGGAAGGCCTCTGAACTGGACTGGACCACCGTCTGGAAGACCGTCTGGTGGACGACCGCTGCGCGCTGCGCAGGAGGTCCTCCCCTCGGCTCGTACCAGAGGCGCGTACGGCACACAACAGCCGCACGCAGAAAAACGACACGCACACACACACACACACACACACTAACGCGCGCTCGGGCGCACGCACAAGCCGCAACCTTGTACTGTAACGACGACGGCCAGGAACACATCAACGGACCACCCCGCTCCGCACCGCGCCACTCCACGACCACCACGGTCACTGCCACGGAGTGGCTGCACATGGCCAGCCGAGCCCACGGCGCGAGGTGTGGGGTCCGGGCGTGGCGTGGCGGGGCGGGGCGGGG